ATGATGAGTTGTTTATTTCATTGGCCGTAAGCATGGAAGGTAATTAAGTAGGTATAATTTAATCGATTTTCGGAAAAAAACCGTACGTAAGTCTTTAGTAACTTTGAAAGAGTGTGATCTAAGTGATGTGAGGAGCGACGCGCCTAATATAGTATTTTAAACTATAGCGCTATCTATGAGTAAAATAACATAAAATATCAAATGAACAAGACTATTACATGTGTTTTCAATACAACTTTAAAAATTACAGTACATCTAAAACACTATTTGTCTAATTACAATAAAAACATATACACTACTACATTAAAAACAATATAACTCATTTGTCAATCTGACTACATGACAAATTATTTTAAACACACATTTGTGATAGGGACCCAAATCCAGCTATTGTCGTAGATATAAAGAAAATTAATCAAATATGAATGATTGTAATTCTACTCTACAATAACTTTACTACAAACGATTAAATACAGCTACAATTATTCATTATTTTACCATTAATACCTTAGTATTTCATAAATCACTACTAATGATTAAATGTATTATTAATAATGTATAATATTCGTTGAATGTAGTATTATATGCATAAATAATATTATTATATGTCTATATATATTAATAAATATACCTACGATGAAGTATGAATTTTTAAATAGATTATAATGTATTTGATATTATTATTGAATTCGAATAAGTATTAAAGAACTACTTTTAAATGTCTAATATTGGAAGAAATTGTGATTATATATGAATTTATATTTCATTGATTATTATTATAAATGCGATTATTTAAGCAATAAATTATAATGATATAATTTAGATAACTTTATTTATTAATTCAACAGCTACAATGAATTTTCTTTACGATATTTTTTTATTGATTATATAAAGTAATTATTATTATTCGAGACGAATGAAATGGACGTATTTCAACATTTTTTACAAATTAATTGTGCAGCCATACACAATATTCTTTGAGTGTGTCGTATAGATTTATATGGGATTTAGTAGCTTCAAGAATAATCCTTAAGAGCTTAGCTTATTTCTGATGTTCATTTATCTGACTTCTATGATGCTTAAGGAAGCGAAACACGCTAGGTTATGCATGACGGTTATAAACAAAATAAGAGTTTGGCCGAAAGGTGTTGTTTTCCGGCAATTTCGCGGCCGGATACCTGACACCGCGCAGCACACGACGCCGACACAGCACAATAGTCGTGATAATTAGTATTTTTTATTACTTACATTATGTATTTATAGTATTTTAAGTTAAAATTGTATATCATAGTATTATTGTATTTTATTATGGGCTTTCGTTGCCTGATACAAATAAATAAATAAAATTAAATATAACATTGCATGCAAAACCGACAAGCATAAGCAAACACCGATGCACTGATAACTGTGCAGTTTAATCACATACACGTTAGCGCTTGCCTGTTGGTTATGCATGCACGGCTAAAGCCATCATTTAAAACCTAGCGTGTATGACCACCTTAGGGAAATTATTTAACAGTGTGATAACGGCAGGATTTGTTACCAATCCTAACACTTGCTACAGTTGTCCTACGATCCGAGAAAGGGACACCATATTTGCCAGAAATCAGACAGTTATACTATCTAATAACTTTAGATGTTCTTGAAATTTTGGCCTGGAAAACTAATTTAACCATTCCGTACTTGAATACAAAAGACTGTTTAGATATAAAAAAAGTACTGAAAGGATTCTGTTCTGATTAGATGGGGTTCAACTATGTTCAAGTCAATATTAATCCTTATATCCACCAAGCAACAATTGATGCACAACACGTAACGCTCAACATGTTTCACAACGTTGCGCAATTTCACGCAACATTTCAATGCAACATACTGTTTATCATCAAATAGTTTTATGTAATGTCGTGTTGTCCCGGAGGTTTAAGACGCCCACTTCTCATGCATGAGGGTGCGCGTTCGAAACCTACCAACGGCAAGTACCAATGTGACTTTTTCCGAGTTATATGTACTTTCTAAGATTATTTAGACACCACTGACAAACGATGAAGGAAAAACATCGTGAGGAAACCTGGACTTATAATTTCTAATTATAAGTTTGAAATCGCCAACCCGCATTGAGCCAGCGTGGTGATTAATGCTCTAACCTTCTCCGTGTGAGAAGAGGCTTTGCTCAGCAGTGGGCATTTATAGCCTGGAACGCACAACTAATGAATGTCGCTCAAATCAATACTATTCACACTAGCAACATGTTGTCGAATGTTACCAGTAGTGAATATAGAGCAACATGTTATACAGCGTGTCTTGTGCCAAACGTTACCCAGTAGATTGAAGGCTTTAATATATTTAAAGACACAAATGAAGAAACATGTCCATCGCATTCAATAATTTAAGAAATTTCTACTTTCAAACATGGTTATAATTTATATGTAATACGAATTTCTAGTGACATTCTAATATGATTAAACATGACTACTGTTATGTATATTTGAGTAATATATATATATACTTTAATAATGATTTAATGTTATTTGGATATGTTTACATCCATTACTTGAGGGAATGTAAACAGTTTATGTATTTTTATGAGTTATAATTTGATTATTAATACGATGCGATGAAAATAAAATAAATATAGTTCATGAAATGTAATTTTCACATTTTATATGCAATGATTAACATTTATATCTAATAAATTGTTATGTATAATATTTACAACCATTCATATTCGCAATTATAACAATAAATAGTTAAATAAATTAAATGATTATCGATACACAAAATATCTTAAATTATGCTAATTTTACTGTAATATATTTTATGGTAAATTGAAGCCAAACAATTGTTTATGTAATGTACAATTAATTTTACTAATTTTAATCTACTATACATACTGTAAGATTTACCGGTAAAAGACATATAAATAAATGTTATGTATTATGGGAATTTATTTGTTGGTCTTAAGTTATATTTAACATCACGCCTTTTAATCCCCAACAGGTTAGGCAGAGGCGTGGTAATGTGATACTCTCTTATCACCAGTTATTTTATGACTTATGAGTCCCATGTTTTTGGGAGTTTTTTAATCAGGAAACATTCTTGATATTATTATTATTATGTATGTCTTTACCATTCATGGGACCACAGGGTCCCGGTCATTTGGGAGGCGTACGAGGGGCCGAAGTCAACTGCGCAGAGGCCCTTTAGACAACTTTAATATAAATGTAATGGACACACAAACCGGCGACTATCCCTGTATGCACTATGGAAATGCACCCAAGGACAGTCCCCGGTTAGTGTAGAACTATTGTGGGTAATGGAAAAAAAAGGTATTATTATTATTATTTCCGTACCGGTAATTCTTAACAGTAAATACAATTCATATTTATACAATAACTTCTAAAATAAGCAATATTATTGTGATATATATTGTCATTAAAATCATTATTATTGCATTATTTACAAGAAATATTATTAAGCTCATAATTTATATGATAATAAAATGAATTTCTACGTCTCTTTGGTCCGACATCCAATAAAAAGTGTTATTATTTTTAATTTATATATATTATTGTCAAATTAAAATATTTAACCTTTTTAGGTGTATATTTAGACCAAATATAGATTAATTTAGATGTCTAGAATGAATGTCATGGTGTAAAACCATCTGTCGATTGATCGACAGCGTTGTACAGCTTCGCATGTTGTTAACTAGGTTATAGCTATACTCGATATATAAAAAATTCCAAATGTCGTTCAATATATAAGTACCACTTAAATCAACACATGTTATTGACGACTGTTGCGACCGAGATCTTGTGTTGTGTAGATGAAACAACAATTATTTATTAACTTTAATAATGTTTATGCACAAAAATTAAAGCAAAATGTTGCGCATCAAATGTTGTCTAATATATCGATACAAAGTACATATTTGACACATGTTAACAACTTAGACAATCCATCTAGACAGTAAATAATCTAAGAAATATGGCAGATTGATTATAATAATTCCTTTTTTTTTCCTATAAAATTGTCAAAACGATTATTTTTCTATAACATTAATTAATATTGTCCTTGAATACATTTTTATATATGAAAGAAATATTGTCAAAGTCACCTTTGCAAAATTAAATATTAGGTATATATATATTACATAATAATATAATATATTAAAATTGTATAATTTATATATTATTATTGTGTAAGCCGACATTTAATATCACTACGTATTTTATTGTATACATTCTTATACATTTATTTGATTATGGGATTTTTATTTATCTATAAAATACACGCCTTGGTCTAAATTATATGTATAGGACTTTCTATTTAAATATATATTCTCGTTTTAGAAGAATTATTTGCGAGGATGTAAAATTTTGAAATAGAGTAGGCATTCTTATTTTGGTATATACCTACATATTTTTAAGAAAATTGAAAATTACCTTTGTTGCTATGAAACATACTCTATTTAGATATTCACAAACAAGTATAAAGTAATGAAGAATGCATTTTAATATGTTTTGTATGTTTATGATCATTTCTTTATTTTTCCATTTTTTAGTAACAGGACAATATTGCTATATTTCCTATAATTACAATATTAGGTATATAAGTATTTTTATAACTTGCAGAAGTATACATAATCATAGTCATATACAGATAATATTAAAAGCCATAAATAGTATACAGTTTTAGATCAAAGAGCAAAATTGGTCAGAAAACTTATCTACAGAGAAGATTCTAGAAATAGTTGTATATATATAGGTCATAGACAGACACAAAATATAATATATTAGAGGTATATTAGATATGATTTCAAAATATAATTTTTGGGCAATAGACTACAGTATAAGAAGAAATATATTTAAAAGTTTTAACTTTAATTTTGTCTATAACAACTCCTTTGACGTCTAAGCAAACCCCATTAAAAAAACTCCCGAGTCTTTGGTAAACGTCAAAAAATGGCGGGAATATATTGGCGGGACAAGATGGCGGCTTTATTCTTCTTCTTCGTTCTGGTAGCTCACGTAACGGACTGATGATTTGTCGCTTATTATTAGGCTCTGAAAATAAATGATTTATTTTAATTAATACGTAAGTAATTATTATGCAGATTCAAGAATAGTAGGTAGGTACACAGTTAAATCCTTGACTAAAAAATTATAGTCAACCCAAAATGGCAACAATTGGGTACTTGCCAACTAGTCAAATTCAATACTTTTTTTCGAACTGTCAAAAACGAGAGTATTCTATGAATTTTGTACGAGATTATGTATTGTGACGTCACGTTTTTTAGCGTCGAACAGCATAACTATTTCTTAAAAAATTGGTCAAAAATATTAAAATTAATTTGGTAATAAAACCAATTAATGGAAGTGTGATTTTTTAAAATATATTATTGTATTGAATAGTCGAAATAATGTATTTTTGATTAAGAAAAGTACCCAATTGAAATGTTTGGTTAAATTTTTGTTCAGTAAATAACAGCTAGAGGTGCTGTAGAGATGCTTTAGTTATTGTTCCGAGAGAGTGACATACCAAAACATCGTCGCTATCGGATATCGATAAACACAATCATTGATTAAACAGTAGAGAATTAGGTTTATTCAATTGACAGTATTCTGTATTGGTTAGAGTCTGTGTGGCGACACATGTCACAAGTCAACGGATGACGTCATAAAATCCTACATCGCACATGCGAAGTTTACATTCGATTTAACACGGATAGAAAATCCCAACTGTTGGGCAGAAAGCCCGCCAGGCACGATCACCTCGCCTGGTCGGCGGATCCTCCTTTTCCGATCTTAGGGAACTATACTCTCTGTTCCCTAAATCTGTAATTTCTCTGATGTCCATGGGCGGCGCTGATTGCTTACCATCAGGATCAGGTGATCCACCTGCTTCTCAAAGAATCATCATCATGCGTACAACCACATTCTGTGCACAGCCTGCTACAGTCCTCTCCTAATGACTACACATCCCAGGTTAGAAGTGAACTACATACAGCGACAGGCTGCGACCTTAGCCAGTGCGCCAAAAAAAAATATTGTACCTGTTTTTCGTCCCTGGCCGGTGGTGACCTCAGGAACAGAAGACAGGGAGCGTAACCGAAGTTGAGCACTGCTATGATGACCAGCATCCATTCGAAGCCGATGCTGTTCATCAAGGCTCCTGAGAGCGCCGGTCCTGGAGGAGCAGATTCAATGATTAAGACTTTGGCTGCCAATACAAAACTGTTGAAGGCAAATCCTCCGCTAACACTGGTCACCGGTGACCCCCATGGCGTTTAACGTGTTAAGAATACAATTCCTCCCCTCCCCAATCTCCCCAATACCCGAATCCTCAATCCTCAGATTCCTTATCCCTTAGAAACCGATAACGCCCTTCTAAAACCTCTGGTGTTCCAGGTGTCCATGGGCGACGCCGATTGCTTACCATCAGCAGGTGATCCGTCTGCTCATTTATCGGCTTATTCCATAAAAAAAGACCGCTGCAGTCCGGTTTCTGCCATATATGTAATCCCTTATCTTTTGATTTATCTCATAGCGGGATCTAAGACAATTCTTCATGTCCCTGGGACGTTGGACTTCAGTGTTCCGATGTTTGTATGGTTGTATCTACTGTAGATCCAGAGGCACAGGGGTTGCAGCGGATTTGGAAGGTTCTGCCTGGCTTGTCCCAATAAAAAAATGTAACGTCTTAGCCTAATCTTGAAAAAGAGTAACCTATGGAGTTTCTTGCTCGTTCTTCTCCATAGGAATCTACACTTTGGAACGAGCAAGTACCTTCACTAGAGGACTGACCTACAGACTGACATTTTGTCTTATTATTTAATATTTAAATATTTTGTTTTGACGTTCAAAAGTGCCTTCCTGTACTAATTGAAATAAATGACTTTGACTTTAATCTACCACACCCACGTAAAGAGCTGCGGTGGTATTATGTAAACTTACCAACAGCGTATCCTAGACAGAAAGCAGTGTCTCCTATAGCGTATACAGATCCGTAGACAGCAGCGTGACGGATGTCCACCAGAAATCCAAGTTCTGGCATCATTGAGGAGTCGACCATGCCAATAGCGAAGCCCAGACCAGCGTTGGGAATAATCAGGTGTTCCAGTTTGCGAGCCATGGGGATCTGTGAAAAATACGGTTATCATCATCAATATTATCAGCCTATAAGTGACCAACTGGGCACTGCTGACCAAAGGCCTCTTCTTACACGAAGAAAGTTTGAGCATTAATCATCACGCTTGCTTAATGCGAGTTGGCGATTTCAATCTTATATGTTTTCCTTCAAGGTATGTCATTGGTGTCTAGATAATCTTAGAAAGTACATATAACTCGGAGAAAGTCACATTGGTACTTGCTGTTGGTAGGTTTGGGACCTGCACAGTCGTGTATGAGAAGCGGGTGTTCTAAGCCTCTGAGCCACCACGACGTTTATAAAATCGAGTAACTATCATGAACAGTTTACGAACAGGCCGTAATAATCCTCTACTGGACTATGAGCATCCTCTACATAAGAAGAATTTTCCATAATCTTTGATTTGTGATTTTCTTACCAGGATAAGACACAATCCAATGATGATAAGGCCAGAGCAAGCAGCCAGCCATCGTCCCATCTTATGTCCAAGAGGTCCAAACAGATTCGTACCTAAAAACAAAGCATTCATGTCACATTAAAAATTGTAAAATACCAACCAGGCCTTTTTTTAATGGGACAAGCCCACCACAACCTCCCAAAACTGCTGCAACTCCTGTAAGCCAGGATCTACAGTGGATACAACCATGAAAACACCGGAACATTGAAGTCCGGCGCGTCCCAGGGACATGAATAACTGTCTTGGTCAACAACCCGGGTCTGCTGATAACTTTATGGGTTACCTTGGCTCTGGCTCGACGGAGTAGGAACGGTGTGGTGTTTAGTCAGCAAGAGTATGACACTCGCTCTCGCCTAACACAAAGCGGGAGCTAAGGACCTTGATGGTTTTCTTCCGTAAAAAAATGACTTAGAATACCACTCTTGCATCGGGATACTCATTTATTCGACTTCAATGAAAGGAAGAGGGTCTCAATTGTACCGTATTTTCTTATGTTTTTGCGTGGAGGGTCATGCTTCGGTAGAAATAGACCGGCTCGACCGGAGTGCACCACGGCCTCACAGAAGACCGACGTGAAACAACGCTTGCGTTGTGTTTCATCGTGTGAGTGAGGTTACCGGAGGCCCAATTACCCCTCCCACCCTTTCCCAATCCCTGAATCCCAAGCAAACCTCAAATTCCTAATCCCATAAGGCTAGTAACGCACTTGTAACGCCTCTGGTGTTCCAAGTGACCATAGGCGACGCTGATTGCTTATTATCAGGTGATTCGCCTGCTCGCTTACCGGTATATATCTTAAAAAGTAAACCGGCTCGACGGGAGTGATACCAGGGCTTCAAAGAATCTGAATCAGGTAGGCTGGTAACGCACTTGTCACTCCTCCAGGTGTCCATGGAGGCGCCGATTGCTTACCATCAGGTGATCCGTCTGCTCGTCTACCGCCCTGTAGACTTACCAATCAAATAGCAGATGCTGGCCGGTAAGAAGGCGACTCCTTGCTGCCAGCGTCGAGCTTCCATAGTGTCAGCCATCCAGATTGGAAGACTTGGCTCCAGCATCGCAATGCCCACGTTCGCAAAGGTTATGGCTCCTGAAAAATGAAATATATACAATACTTTTTATCCTACGGTAACGCGGGTGAAACCGCGGGTAGAAGCTAGTACTTATTGGTATAAATCTGTCAAATTATCGAGTGACTGACTGGCAGATAATGCACAGCCGAAACTACTCGACCTAGGATGCTGAAACTTATCAAGTATGTTCCTTAGGGAGTGTAGAGGAGCACTAAGAGTGAGCTGGGTCGCTCCGTTGCCTACAAAATGGTTGATCGGACCGATTGCTGGCCCTCACGTCATGCTCGTGAACGGGCGCCTTCTGCTGGAGCAGGTCGGCTCGCTCATCGCGCGTGTGGGCCGATCCAGTAAGGTTAATGTAAATGTAACAAAACATGTATTGTGTATATATAGATATTAGACACAACCTTCTTTGTGAAAAAAAAATGTGGTTAATGCAGCACGTAAGATTGTTGTAACAATTAATTTTGACTGTAAATTAAAAGAAAATGTAATGGAATGACAAGGGCACGGACAAGAGTCCGTGGAGAATAAAAAATGTAATATTAAAAAAAAGAGTGGATCTCCCTAAGTTTCCACGGGACCGGGAGAACGAGAATCGCCTATTTATACTTCTGAAGTCGCTGACAGAATCTAGTCTGATATCTATACAGATAAATAAGGAGTGTCTGTTTGTAATATTAAAATAACCACCTGATGGTAAGTGATCAGCGTCGCCCATGGACACCGGCAACACCAGAGGAGTCACAGGTCCGTTGCCGGCCTTTTAAAAAAGAATACGCTCTTTTCTTGAAGGTTTGAAGGTCGTATCGGTTCGGAAATACCGCCGACGACAGATCATTCCACAGTTTTGCTGTGCGAGGCAGAAAGCTACGTGAGAAGCGCACATTTGTGGCCTGCCAACCATCTATATGATGGGGATGCGTATGCGTGCACAACTTAATATTGACTACCTTTCCATATTCGGGTTTATGACTCTCAGATAGACTTCTTTGACAACTCAGGGATATAAAAAAAAATTGGTTGCCTGTAAAGTCGGTATACGGGCGAAAGTTTTACGTGACAACGACTTTGAGTGGTAAAATAATTTTAATGTGAATATTCATTCGTATAGTAGGAAGAAGGATGAAATAATAGTAACAATTTAAAACATTTGTTTTATACAAAGAATTATATTTAAAACATTAATTTATACAAAGAAGCAAGACATGAACCGGTCTCTCTCGCTCTTAGGCGGGCTAACTGTGCTCGAGTGGAAGGGACGCGTGCCTTTCACTTTTTATGTCTGTCTCTCTCGCTCTTAGGCGGGCTGACCATGCCCGAGTGGAAGGGACGCGTGCCTCTCACTCGCTCTCATTGTGAGCGCATAACGTGAGCGGAGCGTAATGCAGTATCTTGAAGTGTCAGCCGGCAAACCAATTTATAAGACCTTGTCACGTCAAAAGATAGAATACAGACCTGCCGCGATGAGAATGTATGGATCAGAGACTAGGGCCTTGAGAGAAGGTGGCTCCGACTCCTGACGAACCACTCCTGGTTGCAGGATCATCAGCTGAAGCACTGTGAGAAGAAATAGGTCATTATAATAAGTATTCTGACATAACACATAACATAACATAATATCACGCCTTTTATTCCTGAAGGGGTAGGCAGAGGTGCACACAGAAGTAACACCAACTTTTCACTATTTATGTTATAAGTCCCATGTGGTGAGCCTATTGCCATATACCGGGCACATTTCCAGACTCCGTGCTACTACTGAGATTTTTTTAAAACCCAGTTGTACTTTGCCCGACTCGGGAATCGAACCCGAGACCCCTTGCCCGGCAGTCGCACTTGTGACCACTGGGCCCATGAGGCAGTCTTATTTATCAGTGTTATCAAATTAAAATTATGTTTTCGCTCGAACGAATTTATATTTTATCTGCTAAAACTGAAAAACCTGAAAATAAACGTATTTATATTTAAAATAAGGATTGTTTTCATTGCACATTTAATTATTAGGTTAGTGTTCAATTTTATTTGGTTGGTGCTAACGACATGTGGCGCCCTCATTGATTTTATAGACAAACTGTAACTACAATTGGGAAGATGACGAGGTATGAAAATTAAAAATATTATGTATGTTTTTGTTTTGTTATATAATTAAATAATACTTAGATAAAACCAATCCAAGTTTAGGAGTGGGGGGCTAAAACGTCATTTCTACGTATAAAATGTACATAGAAGTGACGTCACACGACATTTCAAATCAATAATTATATCGTCGAAAGTATTCGTTTCTGTACGGAAATAAAAAATACGTGTGTAATGATCCTTACTAATATTATTATATTATCCTTACTAATAATATTATAAATTTGAAAGTGAGTTTGTTTGTTTGTTTGTTCCGCTTTGACGCCGTAACTACTAAACCGATTGCTTTGATTTTTTGCAGACGTAAAGTTAAAAGTCTGGATTAAATAATAGGGTACTTTTTATCCCGGAAAATTAATATTCCTGAGGGAAAACAACAGTATTGGTATAGATGGCGCTGTGTGTATTGGTGTATGTCACATAGGCTACTTTTTATCCTTTTGTGACACGAGCGAAGCCGCGGGTGAACGCTTGATTAAAATAATCTACCGGACGGAAATTAAAATAAACATAAGGCATCTACTATTGCGTTACATTATCCACGTGTTCGACTGGAGATATTATCTCGTTACTTTGTATCAAGTAACTCTACAACACACAGTTACCGCCTACACTCGATTGAAGCACGGAAGTGTAAAATTGTAGACATTACTAGAATGAAATACGAGTAATAACTAGGTATAGGAATTCTCAGTAGTATCACGGAGTCTGGAATTGTGCCCGGTATATGGCAATAGGCTCACCCCCTATTACATGGGACTCATAACATAAATAGTGAAAAGTGGGTGTTACATTGTACAGCGGCATTAAGTGCCGTAATGTGCACCTCTGCCTACCCCTTCGGGGATACGGCTACGATACGATTCAGGGACGCGGCTTAGCTCGCGTCACAAAAGGATAAAAAGTAGCCTATGTGACATATACCAATACACACAGCGCCATCTATACCAATACTTTTGTTTTCCCTCGGGAATATAATTTTTTTCCGGAATAAAAAGTACCCTATTATTTAATCCGGACTTCTAACTTTACGTCTGCAAAAATTCAAAGCAATCGGTTTAGTAGTTACGGCGTGAAAGCGGAACAAACAAATAAACAAACAAACTCACTTTCCGATTTATAATATTAGTAAGGATATTTTGCTCATCGGTATTAAAACCTGGTATAGTGTGTAAGGTTTTCCTATTCTTAGAGGTATTGTTTGTTTTATATAAGGACTGTTCTGTTTTGTTTTTCTTTCTTTTTATAATTATTTGTTTCTTTTTTTTATTATTACTATAGTTAGGATTAGATAGATAGTAAATAAATACGTACATCCATCACCCAAAGCCAAAGCGGAGAGCATCAAGAACGGGGCAGTCTTCCCAACGAACTCGTACATGAGACCTCCAAACGGTGGACCTATGAGCACTCCCAGCGCAAGTCCACCAAGAGCGATACCCATCGCATTACCACGTTCCTGGGAACAAAATCACATTTAAGAAATCTTTCAAATCAAATCAAATCATGTTTATTTGCTCAAACACATGTCAAGTCAAGTCAAGTCAAAATCATTTATTTCAATAAGACCAGTAAGGCACTTTTGAACGTCAAAACAAAATATTTAAATATTAAATAATAAGAAAAAATGTCAGTCTGTAGGTCAGTCCTTTAGTGAAGCTATTTGCTCGTTCCAAAGTGTAGATTCCTATGGAGAATAACGAGCAAGAAACTCCATAGGTTACTCCTTTTCAATCATGTTCACAATACAATTTTTGGTTACATTCTTCCGTTGAGTTAAAAATAACCTTGAGGACAACAAATTTGTGTACATACAGTAAACAATAACATGTAAGATAGCGGGTAGCAGTGGAAAAAGTTCGAGACATGTTTGCCGTATACAATGGCGTGCAAATATAGTAGTTTCCGGAAGGCCTATCAGGTTACCGGGGCTCCGGCTCGAAGAGCAGGAGTATGAACGGGGTGGTGTTTAGTCAGTAAGAGTCTGACACTCCCTCTCGCCCAATCCAAGGCGGGAGAAGACATTGGATGATTTTCAACCCTCAAAAAATAAATACACTAGGATTGTCTCCTGTGCCGTGGGTGCATTTACAAACATACTAATTCATATTTACCCCTCCAAAAAAATAAAAACAATAGGATAGTAAGAGTCTGACACTCTCTCTCGCCTACGGCCTAACCCAAGGTGGAAGAAGTCATTGGATGATTTTCCACCCTCAAAAAATTAACAACAAAGATTTTCTTCTGTGTCGTGGGTGCATTTACAAACATACGAGTTCATATACACATGACACACAGACCCGGAATAAGAATCTGTTCACACAAAGAGTTGTTCCGTGTGGGAATTGAACCCGCGATACATTGCGCGGCAGCCAGTTGGCTAGCCATCGCGGCAACCGTGCAGTCAATCTGATGGTGGTAACCTCATCAACAGTTCGCAATAGTTCATTGATGGACTGAGGACCTCCTCTACATAAGAGGGTCCGCCATAATTGTAAAAGAAGTAACGCTCTATTCTTGAATGTTTGAATTTCGTCTCGGTTCATAAATATGATGGTCATATATATCATATCGTCATCATCATCAACGGCCGGAAGACGTCCACTGCTGGCCAAAGGCCTCCCCTTAGCCCTCCACGTCAAATATATATCATATATATCACATATGTCATATATATCATATATACAAGGAGTAGTTTTGAAGCCGTGTCATTTCTCGGGGACATGTCACAGACGTCATAAAGGTTCAATCTAAGAGAAAATTTCGGGCCAATAGTTAAAAATACGGCTGTATTAAATCGTTTAAGTTCGACAGTATTTCAGAAAAAGCGACAGCAATGTTTCTTATTGGAATTTTATGGAATTAGGAAGGAATAATATTAATTACGTGTTTGAGTTTGTGTGTGTTAAGCCGCGTTATAAAGCTAGTTACAAGACGGTGGCGTGTAGTTCGCGCTGGATTTCCGTAATTTACAGAAAAATGAAAAATATTTATCAACATTTTTTTTATTGATTCGGACTTAGAATCGATAGCCGAGTTACCTCCTAGAAAATAACGCGGCTTTAAAACAACACCTTATATATATATCATTCACAGTTTTACTGTGCAAACCAGGAAGGTTCGAAAATCGCAGAGTCATCGTGTACCAGTACTAACCATCTGAATGTCGACTGCATTGAGATATAAGTACTAGAGAAGCTGCGTCAAATAACTGAACTGTCCTATTCTTCGTAATTTGAATCTATATTTCGCTGCAGCGCTAAAATAATAACAATTCATCTAAACCGTAACGAATTTACCACAGCGCTGGATTTGCTGCGGACGTGTATTTACTCTCGGCAAAAAGGTCTTAAGCGCCATGTATTCATATTTTTTTTACATTTGATGGGCCGACGTTTGACCATTATCTCGCCTGGTGGTAAGCGATGATGCGGTCTACGATGGAGCACGTCGTCCCATAAGCAACCTATTCACTCGGGCCTTGAAGACTCCCAGGTCATACCCTTCAGGAAATACAGACTCTGGCAAAGAATTTCACTCTTTAGCTGGATACCACGGCACTTACGTGTTTTATTCAACAAAGTGAATGAGGTGCGGCGACGGTACGGCGTGATCGCCGCAATTGAACCAGACAACGTAGGAATTAACAGTGTCTTCTCTAGTACGTTAGTACTTATATCTCGATGGTAGACTGGCTTATACACTGTTAAATTTTAGTCGTTTTAATCCCATGGACCTGTGGTTTAACTAACAGAATACTACTCATTACTAGCTTGTACTGCGGTGTAACATAAAAAATAAATAAATTAGCAAATAATAAGATTATACTCGCAAAATGTATGAAACCAAAAGTTGCGCCACGAGATAGTTACCTACGTCGTCGTCGGTCGTTGCGTATCGGGCAGTGTAGGTACCTACACGGCCCGATCAAACATAAGGTTATTGACTCGATCAACTGATGTTTGCGTAGGTAAACAAATAAATTACAGATACATTACCGACATAACTGTACTAACGGTTCGCATTATTTATTCACTCATGCGAGAATTGATTCGGGTTATTAAAAAAAAAGTACTTTATTTTTTAATTTTATCTTTACAAATCGATAGTGTTTCATGGATCAGTTCGAACCTCCAAGGGATTAAAACGATTCAAATTTAACGGTGTATAGAGGAGGCTTATAGTCTACCAGGCATTAATGCTATTGACATACAATAAATAAGGCATGGGACAAGTTCACCACAACCTTAAAAGAACTACAACTCCTCTGCACCAGGATCTACAGTAGATACGACCATGCATACACCGGAACACTGAAGTCCAACGTCCCAGGGACATGAATAACTACAGATGGGGCCTAACAAGGCTGATGCCGATACGGAGCCGCGGAAGACTTAACGGGTTGCCGGGGCTCCGGCTCGAAGTGCAGGAGTAGAAACGGGGTGGTTTTTAGTCAGTAAGAGTCTGACACTCCCTCCCGCCTCACCCAGGCGGGAGAAGTCATTGGATGATTTTCCCCCCTCAAAAAAAAAGGTTATGAATAACTGTCTAAGATCCCGCAACGGAATAAATCAGAAGATATTGTTAGAGGATAAGAAAGAGGGTATATTATGCTTACCTTATCATCAGGGTATCTTTCAGCCAGCATGCCCATGCCAGAGACAGAGGAACAGGATGATCCTATGCCCTGCAGCGCCCGGGCAATGAAGAGCACTGAATATGAACGGCCGAAGGCGAAGACTAAGAACAAAAACAATAAGGAACTGTAGATCTCATTCGCATCCGATAAGAAATCATGTTTATTTCTGATCTGCTGTAAAATGATCAGCTCGATTTTTTTTTCAATTGTCTTTTTTTAAGGTAATATCGCCAGAACTATTTCTAAAAATTATCAGGAACTGTAGAACTAATTCATATGTGATAAGAGCTGACGTTTATTTATGATCTGCTAGAAATTGATCTGCTGCCGGAGGTTGGCAGATCATTGTTTCAATTGTCTTTTTTAAGGTAAAAACGCCGGAACTATTTCTAAAAGGTATCAGGAACTATAGAACTCAGCTGCATGCAATGAGACCTCTCATTTATTTTTGATCTGCTGGACAATGGTCTGCTAAGTTCACTGACATGAACAAAATGATATACATAATTTATTTAGACCAATTCTTTTCTTATTAAGTTGCATAGGAATGTATGATCAAATCAGACACCATATTTTTATAAGAGTAACGCCTCTGGTGTTTCGAGTGTTATGGGCGACGATTGCTTACCATCAGGTGATCCGTCTGCTCGTTTAACGGCTTATGATATATATAAAAAAAAACATTACGGTAGCGCGAGGAGTATAGCGATTTCTGAAAGTTATACGTACTTAGGGTGGACAGGAACATGAGGATAAACCCAGTGAACATTGGTATACTATAGCCGATTCTGGAACAAAATGCATTTCAATTTAAACATAACATAACGATGACAGGGTATGAAAATTAAAATTCTAATTAATCCATAAGTTAGGTAATGAAAAAATATTAGAAACGTATTTTTTATTTTGTCGTATAATAAAATAATACTTAGATAAGACGATTCAAATTTTAAGAGTGGGGGCTAAAACGTCATTTCTACGTATAAAATGTACATACATAGAAGTGACGTCACGCGACATTTCAAATCAATATATCGTCGAAAGTATTCGTTTCTGTAAGAAAATAAAAAATACGTGTCTAATGATCCTTACTAATATTATAAATCGGAAAGTGAGTTTGTTTGTTTGTTCCGCCTTCACGCCGTAACTATTGAACCGATTGCTTTGAATTTTTGCAGACGTAAAGTTAGAAGTCCGGATTAAATAATAGGATACTTTTTATACCGAAAAAAATTTCATATTCCCGAGGGAAAACAAAAGTATTGGTATAGATTGCGCTGTATGTTAGTATATGTCACATAGGCATATACTTTTTATCCTTTTGTGACGCGAGCGAAGCCGCGGGTAAAAGCTAGTTTAAAATAATCTACCAGACGGACATTAAAATAAAAATTATTAAACTAAATGAATAACAATTTTAACTTACTTGTGAGTTAGTGGTCCAACGAAGGGGTTGGCGAGGAGTTGTACCAGCGCTTTACTGGCGAACATGACTCCAACTGCCACCGTCTCATGGATCAACTCCTGATGTCTCTCTTCTCGTTGTGCTGTGAGGTTTACTAAAACAAAACATAACTTATATTATTCTTTGTATTCTATTTTAATCGACTTCAGAGTGCCAAGCACGTATAACAATCCAATGATATTATAAAGAAGATACGCTACGTTCATACTAAGCGGCGTCCAAAAATTGTTGCGTTCTTATAACAAATGTACTTAAATGTCATTTTCAACTACGTGCGACAGATAATACGGAAAGTATGGTACAGAAAGAGATAGCTATTATAAAATTACGACAATTGTCTGAATTCGTTCGCAACAATTTTTGCGTGCCAGTGCGATATCTACCTCTTTTTATTATTTGTAATATCATTGTAACAATCGCATTCAGGGTGCCACCTGAAAATCAGTGTTGGGCAGGAATGCTCAACTATATGCTGAGGTGGAGGCCCATTTGCCATGTGCACACGCACTACAATATTACTATGTATTATATTTTTTTTTTATTGTATATTTAATTTCTCTTTATATCAAAAACTTATTGCATTTGTTTCGTATTGTATGTAGAGGTACATTATTTTCTTATTTTTTGATGATTTTTGTTATTTTCTTTATGCTTTTATGTTTGTTATTAATATTATGTATTTATGTAAGTATCTGTATTTATATTTTTCATAATCTATGTTTGTGTGCCATTTGCTAAATAAATGCTTTTTTCTCTTTTCTTCTTTCTTTTCTTCATTCGTATCGTAACAGTTTCAAGCGAGTTAAGCGTTCTGATTGGTTGGTTCGCTTGAGCCGGCCAATCAGAGAGCCGAACGCGCTAGATACTATTACGTTACGAATGCGATAGCTATTCGTGTTTGGTACTCAGAAGAAAATGGGTATTTCAGTGTGATTTGTATGTACGGTCATAGGTCATAAGTCCACTGCCACCGTAAGACTACTATCGGTTGCGCTGCAGCGCTTATACACACACACACACGCATATTTGTATCCGTGTGTACGCGTGCTTGTGTTTATGCGTACGCAAGCGTGTTTATGCACATTAATATGAAATTACTTACGCATTGCCGTGTGAACATCACTCACGGTGGCAGTGGACTTTTGACCTTTGACATATGGATTTTGTCAACGATTATCTCGGGATTGGCTGAACCGATTTTGATTCGGATTTCAGAAAAGTTGTTGTTATACTTAGGAACAGGTTTTAATATATTAATAAAAATGAGTAAGTAGAGGTTGTTTTGTTATAAACGTAATTTATTGAAAATTTTATTTTAACTGCTAACAATTATTATGACTGCCTCGTTGGCCGAGTTGTCGCAAGTGTGACTGCCGGGCAAGGGGTCTCGGGTTCGATTTCCGTATCGAGCAAAGTATTATTATTTTTTTAATTGTCTGTAGTAGCACGGAATCTGGAATTGTGCCCGGTATATGGCAATAAGCTCACCCCCTATTACATCGGATTAATAACATAAATAGTGAAAAGTGGGTGTTACATTGTACAGTGGCATTAAGTGCCGTAAATAATGTGCACCTCTGCCTACCCCTTCGGGGATAAAAGGCATGTTATGTAATGTATGTAAACCTTGATTTTGATCTTCGTGTTTTTTGTTCTAAAGTAAATAGGTACTTACGTGTCTGTGTATCGTTCTGTATTATGCTGCTAGTGTTGGGCTGCATACAAGGGCAGTACGGAGTGGGGGAGGGAGGGGCTAGCGTGATGTCCTCCAGGGACATCGAGAGCGGAGCGTCTGGGTGTCGGATGTCGTAGAGAAACTCCGGTATTATTGGTACTGAAACAAATAATTTTAATTAAAACCAAAGAAATATTAAACACTGGTTCGGCTCTGGACAATACTCAAATATAGTCAGTAGTTAGATTACTATAGTAGGTAATTTAATACTTTCATTCTAATAACACATAACATCACGCCATTTATCCCCGAAGGGGTAGGCAGAGGTGCACATTATACCACTGTACAATGTAACACCCACTTTTCACTATTTATGTTATGAGTCCCATGTAATAGGTGGTGAGCCTATTGCCATATACCGGGCACAATTCCAGACTCCGTGCTTCTACTGAGAATATTAAAAAACCCAGTAATACTTTGCCCGACCCGGGAATCGCACCCGAGACCCCTTGCCCGGCAGTCGCACTTACGACCACTCGGCCAACGAGGCAGTCAGTTTCATTCTAATGCAGACAATCTAATTTCCTTATGGCATCGAGCATTTCTTTCTTTATTGAAACAAAGAGTTTCCTTTTTCTTGTATACCTCTAGAAGCACTATTTTTATGGATTGTCAGTATGCATATGTGAGCACTATGCTAGACTATATGTTTTTTTTTATTTTAGTAAGTTTTGTAATTAGTATAATGCGTCAAGCGTGTCTTTGCATTGTTCTCACATATACGTACAGTATTGGAATATGTATCAGAGATATTGTAGAATATACTTTTTTTTATAAAGAGTAACGAATGGAGTTTCTTGCTCGTTCTTCTGCATTCGAATCTACATTTTGGAATGAGCACCTAGCTTCACCTAACTTCACTGACGGACAGACTGACAGACTATTATTTATTTTGTATTTGTTGACGTTTCAAAAGTACCAAATTATGGTTTAAACTGTCAAACACCAAGCGGTCACCGGTGACCGCAACCTATTGTTCTTTAATTGTGTCTATAAAACCGGTACTCGACGAGTTAATTGAATTAAATGCTTTGACTTTGACATTTGTTTAAACGCATTTCTATGTATTTAATTAAATGTCGACTGAGACTTCCTCGTTGGCAGAGTGGTCGCAAGTGTGATTGCCGGGCAAGGGGTGCTGGGTTCGATTCCCGTGTCGGGCAAAGTATTACTGGGTTTTAAAAAAAAACTCAGTAGTAGCATGGAGTCTGGAACTGTGCCCGGTATATGGCAATAGGCTCACCCCCTATTACATGGGACTTATAATATAAATAGTGAAAAGTGGGTGTTACATTGTACAGTGGCATTAAGTGCTATGCACATTATGATGTGCACCTCTGCTTACTTTGGGGATAATTAGATTAGATGTCGCTTGTCTACTGTCTCGCCTAGTGGCAAGCGATGATGCGGCAACGATGGAGCACGTCTACATAAGCAAAAAGCAACGTATTCAATTGGGACTTGCACTACTAAAAGACACCAGCGGAAAGAATTAAGGTGGTGACTAGTGACAAAACTTCTGTGTGTGTTCTTATATGTGTTCTTCATAATTAACCACTTCTGTACCTTAGTTTTACACAAAGTACCTAATGTACAAATCCATGGGTGTTCAATAAAGAATTTATTATTATTATCTTCATATATTTATTTAAAATTCTCTACAAATTACATTTTTAAATACTACTTATAAAAAAACTAAAAAATAATATTTAAAAATATAAAACATAGGAGCCGACCGAAGCGGGAGCATGGTCTACCGGTGGTTAGGGCTCCAGAGACAGAAACCTCCTCACGATACGTGCCGTTTCTAGGAGAACTGCCTTCTGTATGAGGCCCTTGATCTATCCACCTAATGCCAGCCTCCTAAGATGAATGTCGATGCTTTTACTCCGACACCGGTGACCGCAACCTATTGTTCTTTAACTCTTTGAGTACCGTCATTATAGACACAATTAAAGAACAATAGGTGGCGGTCACCGGTGTCCTCGCGGTGTTTGACCGTTTAATTGTGTCTATAATGACGGTACTAAAAGGGATAAAGGACAATAAATAATGCAGTCTGGAGCTGACCAGTCCCAGTTGACGGCGCCCGTTCACACGTACACCAGCACCGCCCAACTCAACCATATTGTAGGGAATCGAGCGATCCATTGCACTGTAGCTTTAAGAAGAAATAATGTAAGAAAGTCAGCAACAGCTTCAAATATTTACATTTATTTTAAAAAAGCGCTCTCGGGTCTCGGTCAAATGTGTAGGCCCTTAGTCGGGTATACGAAACCCACGGGAAGAGTAGGGGTGGTGTCATTAATGTACTTTACTCCTCACACTCCTATCTACTCAAACATTACGGCTCGACCGGAGTGATTTATTTATTTTATTTATTTATTTATTTATTTATTTATTTATTTATTTATAAGCACATGTATAACTTTACAGCACAAGCCAAAACATTATACAGTTAAATAATAATAAAAAAAAAATGTTACTTATTTACTATTTTACACTTATGTGATAGGTATCTTATATAAAAAAGTACAATAATTATAATTACTTAAAACTAATTCATCAGCCGTCCATCTTCTCACAAAATCTTACACATTCACGACATACATCCTTCCATCTCGCTGCGAACAAATCACACTCTGGTGCGGATGCCAGGAAAGCATTGATCATCGTTAATGCTCGAACAAGCGGAGAATTTGCATGCGCGACTGTTCGCGTTACTGGGACAGCCAGTAAGGGGTGCCTACGTGGCCTAAGCTGATGCTTCAGAACTGGGGGCACAAACAACCGTACCACCTGTGCCACCAGCTCCGGACAGTCAGATTGTCCTCGCAGAGTACTACAGATAGAAATAATAAGAGAGTAATTTCGCCTCACTACCAAAGAATTAAAATTTAACATGCCCAGTAAAAACTTGGTGGGATATAAGAATGGATAGTACCCAAATAGCTTTTTGTACAGAAATCTAAGAAATGCTTTTTGCACTTTCTCCAGCAATAAAGCATAAGTTCTCATGAGGATTCCATACAATAGATGCAGTCTCCAGTTTGGTACGAACTAGGGCCATGTACACAAGTTTGATAGCTTTAGGATTATCAAATTCACGCATATTACGGATAACGAAACCTAATCTGCGATAAGAGTCAATTGTAAGTAACCTCATATGTTCGTGAAAGTTTAGTCGAGGGTCGAAGACTACACCCAAGTCCTTTACGGTGTGGACTCGATTTATGAGCTCCGACCCCAAAAAGTATTTAACATGCAAAGGATTATGTGATCGACTAAAGGACATTACATTACATTTGGCTGTATTAAAATGGAGTTTATTTTCATTGCTCCACTGGTACAAAGCATTAATATCACTCTGTAAGGTATCTGCATCTGCTAAATTTTTCACCCCATAAATAAGTTTAAGATCATCAGCATACAATAAACACCTCGCATGCTTGAGACAAGATTCTAGGTCATTCACCATCAATCCAAACAGCAAAGGGCCCAATACCGAACCCTGACTAACACCGGAGCGAGTGTGATAAGGTGGAGAAATAAAACAACCATGTCTTACATATTGTTGACGATCACGGAGGTAATTTGAGAAAAATTTAAGTAATTGCGGTGAGAAACCTATATCATCGAGTTTACCAAGTAATATATCATTATCCACACGGTCAAAGGCTTTTTTGAAATCAAAATAAATTACATCCACTTGAATATTTTTATCTAAGTGTTGCGAAATAATGTCTACTACTGTTAGGAGATTAGTGATACCACGGTCACACTGAAAACCGACGTGAAACAACGCTTGCGTTGTGTTTCTTCGTGTGAGTGAGGTTATCGGAGGCCAAACTACCCCCCTCATTCCCCAATCATTGAATCTCCAACAATCCTAAAATTCATAATCCCCATAAGACCAGTGCTTTTGGCCAAACGCCACTTTAGCGCTTGTCTATAGAGAGATTAGAAATCAAAATGTATGGGGATGACACTGACAAGTGTAAAAATTTACGTCAATTCCATATAATTTGGTTTTCTATTCTACATGTAGACAAGCGCTAAATGGCATTTGGCTACAGCTGGTTTAACCCACTTGTAACGCCTCTAATATTCCAGATGTCCATGCCCCCATGGATTGCTTACCATCAGGTGATCCGACTGCTCGTTTACCGGCTTATCCCATAAAAACATAGCAGTTTATAATTAAATTCCCCTAAAATTTTATTTTACATCATACCCGATTAACTTCACAAGGGCTTCGGTTGACTTCGGCTTAGTTCGGCTATTTCCGCCGATTGGAACCCCGCGTACAGAATTGACCTGTCGAGTCAGGAGCTCTCAATATGAACGAGAGGTCTTCAAATTCGGGTGTCGATGGATTTTGACCCCATTTCGAATTGAATTGAATTGAGCGAATTATTTATTAATTTCGTTGTTTTTATGTCGTAAATGGAAATGTGTTTTTTAGAAATAATAATGATTTTTCTGTGTCACATAAACCATTATACATATTACACCTACTGTTGCACATCTCTGCATCACCCCATGGTTGACTGTTAGAGAATGCCACCCGGCATTAAGTCCGCCATCGCATGTTTGTTATACAGAAGTGTTAATAAAATAATAAATAATAATAAGCTGAGAAAGATACTCGCGGTGTTTGACAGTTTAAGGTTATTTTTTTCGATCGATAATAAAGATCCTTTCGTTTAATTCACAGTCAAAGATCTTCTCTTAAACAATAATAAAACTTTACAGAATTTAATAATAACAGTCTGCCGTCTGGTATCTATATCTTATACCAAAAAGGCTAATATCAAACTATTTAACTAAGTTAAACACTGGCTCGAGGCAAAAGGGTGAAAACTGGATGAAATTTCATTTGCAATGCGAACACGAGGACTCGAGGTTGAGGTAGAGAGGGGATAGTGTCGATAGAAACAGGTGTCGATAAAAATAAGTGACTATAAAATCCTTTGGAATGAGGTGAACCGAGAAGCTCAAGATCGATCGAGATGGAGAACCTCTGTGGACGCCCTCTACCCCATCTAGGAGACATAGGACTATAAGGCAAGAGTCATAAAATCCTTTTGCGCTGCGACGCACCATTGGCTCTTTGTATGTACCTGTATTCTAGTCTACGTGTGTGTCGTGGCGCAATAAATGGTTTCTCTGTCTTCTTTCTTTCTTTCTAAATGTCGATAGAAACATTAAGATGAACAATTTTGTCTTGTATACTGAGTAAAGGGTCGATAGAAATTAAAACAATTTATATGGGATAGGCGGAAAGTAAATGGCGGTGGTAGATGGGTCATCCGCTCTGCGGCTGCAATAGCTGCAAATTGTAGGATTCATTTCCAGAGATTTAAGAAAAAAATAAGTTTGTTGCATTTATCTTTGTTATAAAAAAACTATGCATTCTAATATTTGAACCGATTATTCAATGCGACACAAGCAGTGGTGCAATGGAACACCTACTTTTTACCATTCTCAAGTGTGGGAGAGCCATGCTTCGGCACGGATGGGCCGACTCGACCGGAGTGATACCACGGCCTCACAGAAAACCTATGTGAAGCAACGTTGCGTTGTGTTTCGTCGTGTGAGTGAGGTTACCGGAGGCCCAATTACCCTCCTCTTCCCCAATATCCCCAATCCCTGAATCCCGAACGATCCTCAAACTCCTAATCCCCAAAAAGCCGGTAGCGCACTTGTAACGCATCTGGTGTTCCAGGTGTCCATGCCGACGCCGATTGCTTACCATCAGGTGATCCGTCTGCTAGTTTACCGGCTTATGCCATAAAAAAAATCTCATTTAATAATTCGAAAAAAGTCTAATCCTAGTCTAATTGCTAGACAATCAACCACTCAACCAACGAAAAGCAGTCTACATAGTCAATTTGGTCATACTCCAACAACAATTAGAGAAACAAAAAATCCAAAATTTCATCGACATCAACTACAAATCTCGACACCTCGTCCCTACTCTAGCAGTCGGCTCTTTTGATGAGGCGGCTAAGTGAATTTCACTTTGATCGTGCCGACAAGCAAATTGCTCCCGTTTCCGTAGCCAACCACGATTTCAGCGCTGAAACCGCTTCAGGCGCTTAGCTGAGTTCTTAAAAACTGTAATTAAAATGTCAGACTATTATGTAAAAGTTCCTGGCATAATCTTACTTAACACATTCACTGCGGCAGCGTTAAATCTAAACTTTCTACTAGTGCGATACGAGACAAATGCTGCCCGTATCTATGTTTCCTGATATGCGTTACGGCTTCTATTTTGCCGTACCAAACCCTGACTTTCAAAGCCTATACAGACGTGGAAACCGCCTATATCAATGGTTTTTATCAACAAATCGATAGACTGTATCCTTGTATGTACCTAGCTGCAGGCGCCCTGGGTTCTCTGTTATACTTTGAAAGATACAGAGATTTTTCAAAATCTCCAAAAAGCGCAAGGGAACTTAGATAAATCGCCCCCGCACAGTACGCAAAACAAGGACAACGAGCTACCGCACTGGCTGAGAATCAAATACGGCCAAATACTTGCCGTAACGCAGTGAATGTGTTAATACTAAAAATGTGGAACGACTGCCTCGTTGGCCGAGTGGTCGCAAGTGCGACTGCTAGGCAAGGGGTCTCGGGTTCGATTCCCGGGTCGGGCAAAGTAGTACTGGGTTTTTAAAAATCTCAGTAGTAGCATGAAGTCTGGAATTGTGCCCGGTATATGGCAATAGGCTCAACTTTTATTACACGGGACTCATAACATAAATAGTGAAAAGTGTTACATTGTACAGTGGCATTAAGTGCCGTTATGTGCACCTCTGCCTACCCGCGGGATAAAAAGGCGTGATGTTATGTCGTGTTATGCCATGGGTGCGTTTACAAAGTCTTTTAAAAAGAATAAAGACAAAATAAATGCCAAGTTTCAACTTAATCGTACAACAATTAGAACTATTTATAGGTAATTCTAATTCTTAATTGACGAATAACTTTGAATATTTGACAATTCTTCCATACTAAAGACTGTAAAATATCAATTATCAAGTATTCTACAGTTAAGTATTGGGTACTTTCCTTAATCAGAAATAAATTATTTCGACAATTCAATACAATAAAATATTAAAAAACACTTACATTAATGGATTTTATGTCCAACTTAATTTTAGTATTTTTCCAGCAATTTTTTAAGAAATAAGTATGCAGTTTGACGCTACAAAAACGTGACGTCACAATACACAATCTCGTACAAAATTCATAGAACACTCTCGTTTTTGACAGTTCAAAAAAAGTATTGAATTCGACTAGTTACTGATTTTATTGACAAATCGGCCGTTCCAATCGTGTGTAATTCAGATTCCTAAATCTTATTACAAAGGCATTTTAAAAACCGCCTCCATCTGAATCCAATTCAAAAACAGAAACAAAAAGCCGTTACCTATCACAGAATCCAAGATGGCGGCTATATAATCAAGGAGAGTGGTGCGCTTCATCTACAATTCATTAGTTCGTGGTAATGGCCTATCGTTGCTTGTATTACCTCAGGGAATATAAACCTTTCTGAGGAATAAAACATTATAATACATTTCAATGATTCTCGATTTATTTCGGCCATTTGTTTTCTGTTAACATCTTAGTGGCAATGCTGATTTGAATCTTAAATCTTTGTATTGACTAGGCGTTACTTACTCTCGATAAGTTAGTAGTAGCACGGAGTCTGGAATTGTGCCCGGTATATGGCAATAGACTCACCCCCTATTCACTCATACCATAAATAGTGAAAAGTGGGTGTTACATTGTACAGTGGCACTAGGTGCCGTAATGTGTCTCTGCCTACCCCTTTTTTTTAACGGTGGAAAAATCGGATGACTGCTCCCGCCTGGGTGAGGCGGGAGTGTCAGACTCTTACTGACTAAAAACCACCCCGTTCCTTCTCCTGCACGTTGAGCCGGAGCCCCGGTTACCCGTTAGGTTCTCCGCGACTCCGAATCGGCATCGGCCCTATTGGGTGGCCTGATGGCTTTTTGACGGGGATAAAAAGTGTGAATTGGTGATATTATCCAATATGACGGCCTCACAGAGAATTGTCGTGAAACAACGCTAGCGTTGTACTTTGCCGTGTGAGTGAGGTTACCGGAGGCTCAACACGGAGCCGCGGAAGACTTAAGGTTGTTTGCCATCCTATGTCATGAAAAACAAAACCAATTACTCACCGACGGTAGTCAGCAGCATGTTGTCAAGGAGTAGAGCGATGGCCACGATCACCAGCACCAGCTTCCTCGACTCCCTGAGGGCAGCTATCTTCGCCCCCCACTGGCTGGTGAAACCGTCTGATGCGACACCCATGGTGATTGGTTATATTCCTGTTGAAAAAAGAATCCTCAATTCAAAATTAAATACTAAAGTCAAAAATTAAACTCAAAAAGGGAAATTTTCCCTCCAATTATCAATTTCCAAGATGGCGTACAACAATGGCGGCCGTGACGTATAAAGATGGCTGCCGGATGACAGTTCACGGCGCGCTAACGAGCTGTTTCCACCAATACGTCGCGTCTCATCCGTTCTATCTACCCCTTTTGTCTCCACTTAATAATGAACTTTATCATATTATTTAAAGGTTTAATTTTGATTCTCGATGCTATTTGTCATCAGTCATATTCCTCGTGCGGGTGACTTAACAGTTTTAAAAGACTATACAAGACAGAGACCGGGCAACAGCGTTCTCTGATAAACCTGAACCTTTTATACTGAGATTTCTGACCAGCCTACCAAGCGAACGTTACGGCAAATTCTATTATGCCCACGGATGGGGCTCAATAGGGCTGATGCCGATACGGAGCCGCGGAGAACCTATCGGGTAACCGGGGCTCCGGCTCGACGTGCAGGAGAAGGAACGAAGTGGTTTTTAGTCAGTGTCTGACACTCCCCCCCGCCTCATCCAGGCGGGGGAAGTCATTCGATGATTTCCCCCCTTTAACTCGTCGAGTACCGGTTTTATAGACACAATTAAAGAACAATAGGTCGCGGTCACCGGTGACCGCTTGGTGTTTGACAGATTAAAAAAAAAAATACATAGGGACAGACAGACGTAGGATAGCGACTTTGTTTTATACTATGTAGTGATTTTGTTTTGACGTTCAAAAGTACCTTTCTGGTCTAATTGAAATAAAAATGATTTTGAATTTGACTTTAAACAAAATCTATGAATCTGAATTACACACACTTGTATTTGCTGTATCATCGTGAAACTTGGCAATTGTATGTAGATTAGATGACAATACAATATTATGGTGCCATCGAGCTGGTTTGATGATGGAATTGGAAGGTGACTGATGGAACCTTGGAACTGGACTGATGGAACTGATGGAATCATCGAATGACTGCTCCCGCCTGGGTGGGGCGGGAGGGAGTGTCAGACTCTTACTGACTAAAAACCACCCCGTTCCTTCTCCTGCACGTCGAGCCGGAGCCCCGGTTACCCGTTAGGTTCTCCACGACTTGTCCCTATGTATGCTTAGATCTTTAAAACAACGCAACCGATTTTGATACGGTTTCTTTTAATAGGTAGAGTGATTCTTAAGTAAGGTTTATATGTATAATACATGCATATTGCACCCGTGCGAAGCCGAGGCGGGTCGCTAGTATTTAAATAACATAACATAGCATAACATCACGCCTTTTATCCCCGAAGGGGTAGGCAGAGGTGCACATTATGCCACTGTACAATGTAACACCCACTTTTCACTATTTATGTTATGAGTCCCATGTAATAGGGGGTGAGTCTATTGCAATATACCGGACACAGTTCCAGACTCCGTGCTACTACTAAGAATTTTAACTGCCGACTGCCTCGTTGGCCGAGTGGTCACAAGTGCGACTGCCGGGCAAGGGGTCTCGGGTTCGATTCCCGGGTCAGCAAAATATTACTTAAAAAAAAGTATTTAAATATTAAAGAAAAAATGTCAGTCAGTCAGTCAGTCCTTTAGTAAAGCTATTATATAGTTAAGTACATAGATCGTAACAGGTCAACCTCACAAAGGTGTTAAAAACTCAATACAGAGTACAAAATATTGTAATCCCGTAATATTCCTCCTATTTTCGACACCCTCAAACAGGTATTCTCATTTTACTTTACAGCGGCAGTCATTTGGGATACCCCAAATGACTTTTGTAACAATTTTAAACAAGAATGTTTGTTACAAGAACGCTCTTAAAGTTATCAACCCGCATTCTTCAAAGGTCCACGCTACGGCTACGGCGTAGCACATTGCTACGCTTGCTACGATTTTGTAAAAAAATGTAATTGTTATTAAGATTATTACAATGTATATATAACAATGAATCCCTTTTTCCCTTGGTCACGGCATCACGAGTGTATGGCTGGACCGATTTCACTTTATTTGTTGTAGATTCCTATGGGGAAGAACGAGCGAGATACTCTATAAGTTACTCTTTCAATTAGGTTCAAGCAATGTAATATCCATGATTCATCAGTTATGTTATAGTTATTACGTCCATATAACATGTGGTGAGTTTACTATATATATTTTTTTTATGGGACAAGCCCGTCACATCCTCCCAAAACCGCTGCAACTCCTGTAAGCCAGGATCCTACAGTAGATACAACCATGAAAACACCTTCAAAACTAAACCCACGGCCACACTAAATTAATTATTATGTTTTCGGATTACTCACGTAACGCTATGCTAGAGCTATGCTAGAGGCTCATATTCATGAGCAGTAGTGTCGTGTAGCTACTCTTATATGAGTAAGCCGAAAAACAGCCAAACCCAATTACCCCCCCCCCCCCACCTTTCTCATGCTCTCCATATCCTAGATCCCCAACAATCTTCAAACTCCTAATCCCCACAAGGCTGGTAATGCACTTGTAACGCCTCTGGTTATCTAGGTGGCCGTGAGCGACGCCAATTGCTTGCAATTGCTCGTTTACCGGCTTATCAAATAAGAAAAAAGATATAATAATAATTTCAGTATGTCTCCAAAAAGTTATAATATAAACCGAACCCACACGTCAAAAAACCCAACTTTGAACCTCGAAACCGCATCAATTTAATCTTACTTTGCCCGTAAACCATGAAGGTTTAATCATAAAAGCCGGAGTGCGGACCGAACCTAACTCAATTCAAATTTATAGACCCCCTTTCATATTTATCAGGGACCCTTACTTCGACCTTGAGGTTTGACGGATCAGTCCTAATGGGTAACATTAATGTTACGTCCTAACTAACAGGGATAGAAGTGGTCAGATTTTGGCTTGTTACATGACAATTTTGATTTATTGTCAAACTATTTTAAGTGTGGGAGAGCCATGCACGAATGGGCCGGCTCAACCGGAGTGATACCACGGCCGAGCAGAAGACCGACGTGAAACAACGGTTGCGATGTGTTCCCCAAACTTGGGGGTTGATTATCGTAAGACAGGCGGCTATTAAACAATCAGTTGAGTTCCAGATTGGCCGTCCCATTGCATTCGCCGAACAATATACCTGAGCCCTTAGCCAAACGCCACTTTAGCGCTTGTCTACAGAGAGCGTAGAAAACTAAATGTATGGGGATGACACTGACAAGTGTCAAAATTTACGTCGATTCCATATAATTTGGTTTTCTATTCTACATGTAGACAAGCGCTAAATGGCATTTGGCTACAGCTGTTGACTTGATTAATGTTGTTTTCATCAAGAGGCTCTGTTACTCTCACATATATTATTTATGTTTTTCTTGACTTTAACAACACAATGAGTTTGTATCAGCGTTTCTTCTCAGAGTAGTCCGATAGGAAATGCGCGTCTCATCTAGTTTTTTTTTAAATGCTGACGAGTAAAAGTGCTCTTTTGTAGATTATTTGCAAAAATAAATGAATTCACTGTTTCATTCATCGTTAATTATTTCGTGAAAATCATTCAAGAACATAAAATTTCATTTTTTGGTGCTGCAAAAATTTTATTAAACACTTTTTAATTAATGAAATTAATATTACACACGCGTGGGTACCATGGATACAAGAGGTGGCGAGCATACTGTTGTAATCATATTTTACCCTGAAAAAATTAAAAATGCTTTACCCGATTCATATATTTTTAAGTGTGGGAGAGCCATGCTTCCGCATCCTCATGCCATGTGGGTTTGAACCCTACTACTTTCTAATATTATTTAGGTACCACTGACTAACGGTGAAGGAAAACATCGTGCGGAAACCTGGGCTTATAATTTCTAATTATAAGTTTGTAATCGCCAACCCGCATTGAGCAAGCGTGGTGATTAATGCTCAAACCTTCTCCGTGTGAGAAGAGGTTTTGCTCAGCAGTAGGCATTTATAGGGTGTTGATGAGCATTGAATATTTTTTTATTGGGATAAGCCGTTAAACGAGCAGATAGGTCACCTGATGGTAAGCAGTCGGCATTGCCCACTGACACCTGGAACACCAGAGGCGTTACAAGGCGTTAACGACCGTTTAGGGATTAGGAATTTGAGGATTTTTAGGGATTCCGGGATTGGTAAGAGGGAAAGGGGGTAATTGGGCCTCCGTCTTAAACCCCCGGGCAACAACGGCATAATATGTATAATATTTGATTTCAAAAAGTTTACATATCTATACTAAAGCTAACATTATATTATCTGCCTACCTCATTTTACACAAGGGTCGCGGTTTTACGATAGAGTTTTCCATTCGCTATAAAAGATTAGTATCCCTACATAAAAGCAAATGGGGTCAGCAGATGTTGAGGAGATCAGATCGACTTCCGAGATTAAACTTTTGACATCCGATGTCAGTTTCGTAATTCTTTTGAAGTTGTACTGAAAGATCCAATTTTCACATAACATAACATCACGCCTTTTATCCCCGAAGGTATTTTTTATTTTTTTTAAGGGGGGAAAATCATCGAATGACTGCTTCCGCCTGGGTGAGGCGGAAGGGAGTGTCAGACTCTTACTGACTAAAAACCACCCCGTTCCTTCTCCTGCACGTCGAGCCGGAGCCCCGGTTACCCGTTAGGTTCTCAGGTATAGGCAGAGGTGCACATTACGGCACTTTATGCCAGTGTACAATGTAACACCCACTTTTCACTATTTATGTTATGAGTCTCATGTAATAGGGAGTGAGCCTATTGCCATATACCGGGCACAGTTCCAGACTCCGTGCTACAAATGAGGTTTTTTTTTAAATCTCCAATATTACTTTGCCCGATCCGGGGATCTAACCCGAGACCCCTTGCCTGGCAGTCGCACTTGCACTTGCGACACTGAGCACAGCCTCTTCTCACACAGAGAAGGTTTGAGCATTAATCACCACGTTTACCCAATGCGGGTTGGCGATTTCAAACT